ATATCTTGGAGGTAGTTCCCTATCCCAAATACAAAAAATTCCCTAATGTTTCAAGTAGTTTATACACACACCCTGAAAGCATTTTTTTTTTTTTGTGGTGGTGGTCCTGTAGTTTGAACATAGGGCTTTGTGTTTGCTAGTAGGTGCACCACCTCTAGCAAAGTGCCCCACTTCTTAAGCCATACTCTGATCCTTTTTTCTTGGTTAATTTTTGGATAGGGTGTTGCTTTTGCCAGGAGCTGGCCCTGAACTGCAATCTTCTCCAACTCCACCTCCCAGTAGCTAGGATTATAAGCATGTGCCATCATAACTGGCCTGAAAGTAATTTTATATGATATTTTAATTTACCTGTCTTTTGACTTCAACCCATCACATGAAATCAGATGTTGAAGGAGCCAGGTGACAAGATACTGTAAAATTTGGATTCTGGGATATGCAGACCTAGCTAGGTCCTTATGTCAAATCCTTAAGGAATCACAAAAGGATTCCCAGCCCTTTATTAAATGGGATGACAAGTCAAAAATGCATTCCACCAGTTAAAAGAGGCCCTTATGACAGCTCCAGCCCTGGGTCTCCCAGTACAGGACAAGTTTCAATTATATGTCTATGAAAAGGGAGGACTGGCCCTGGGAGTGGTGACTCAGCTCCGGGGCATCACGCCCTAGCCAGTAGGCTACTTAAGCAAAGAGTTAGATCAGATAGCCAAAGGATGGCCAAGATGGCAGTCACTGCAGTTAGCCTTCTAGTGCCTAAAACTGAAAAATTGATCCTATACTGACCCCTGCCAGTTTACACCCCACATGACCAAGGGGGAATTTTAAACTCAAAAGAGAGGTAACTCTAATAGTTTTAGGGATAACAACATTGATTGCAACCTTAGCTATGGGGTGACTGCCAATCATGTAACTACAAAAAACCTAACCAAAGTAGTAGAAGACATCTCAGACTAGGTGGGCCTTGACATTAAGGACATGCAAAGGTCTCTGTTGTCCCTTGCCTGTATGGTCATGGACACTGCCTGGTCCTAGATTTTCTTTTGGCTAAACAAGGGGGAGTATGTGCCATCACCAATACTTCCTGTTGCACATATATAAACACTTCAGGCATTGTAGAGGAATGTGCAGACTACATTCTCCAACAGGCTAAGTGGCTCTGGAAACAGTCCCTTGAAACTCAGGTTTCTACACAGGTATGGGACCAAATAAAATCCTGGCTCCCCTCCAGAACATGGTTCCTATCCTTTCCGAGGCCTATAGTTGCCATTATTCTCTTACTTGTGTTTGGACCTTACATTTTAAATTTATTTGTCAAGTTTGTTTGCTCTCTCCTAGAATCCATAAAACTACAGATGCCCCTGATGGAGATGAAAATGACCTACTATGGTGGTCCTCTCATGGTCAGCTGTGATGTTGCGGGCCCCTTCATCACCCCCTGTCAGCAGGAATCAGCCATTGATTAGACTTCTTGTCCCTAACCCTAATAGCAGTTAGGGTGATCATTGAGAGGTGGGACTTGAAGGACTGACTTCAGGAGGTCCCAAAAGGTAATAAATAATTGGCCAAGGAGACACTTCTTTCCAGAAGACCTGAGAGACACCTCCGCCCTTGGGTAATACAAAAAAAGGCCATAAAAATCCAATTTCCAACCTGACCCACAGGACCACTGGTTTCAAGGTCCCCCTGCATGCTCCCATGCAGCCTTTCTCTTCTCTTCTCTACAAATAAAATCTTTTTGACCTCTGCTGCTGGGGTCTGCCTGTTCTTTCATTCTCAGAGTGGATCCAAGAACCTGTGCATCAGTATTGGCACTCAAAAAGTTTTGAATTTGGGGGCATTTCAGATTTTTGGATTTGGGAGTTCCATCTTTACAAATAATTAGTGAAAATCATTTATATTGATGTGTTTATTTTTCTCCCATATCTACTTCATTACCCAAGTTTGTCTTGGTATGGACTTGCCGGTTTTGATATTTAAATGTGTGTAAGCCAAGTCTTCTGAGAATCACTGGAACAACTAATCAGAGGTGTCAATCTCAAAGAAAATATGCACTAATCTGCACCTAGAAGTATTAACTTTATTTGATGCAAACAAAGGAAAAGGATGAGAGAAACTAAACACATCCTAGGAATCAGGGAATGGATCCTCAGGCATAGAAAGGAAGACTGTAAATGGATGAAACTGGACAACATCATCTTAAGCAAAGTTAGGCTCAGAAGGCCAAAAATCATAAGTTCTCCCTCATATGCAGACTTTAGACCTAAAACAAATGCAGTAATATTATTGGACATGGGTCACTGCTAAGGGGAGAACACATACAGGAAGAACAGAGAAAAGTAAGAAACCCAAAACTTGAAAGTGTTTGATGTGCCTGCTGTAGAGGAGTTAATATAGTAAACTAAAAACGACAGAGGCCACTATGGGAAGGTGACCAGGAAGTAGTGAAGAGGTCAGGTAGAGATGAACCAATTCGGATTGTAATACACATATGCATGAAAGCAATGCTAGGAATCTCTCTGTATAGCTATCCTATGTTAAAATGCTATGTCTTTTCAACAAAATTGAAGAAGAGGGCAGAACAGGTTCTGCCTGGAAGTGAAGGGGATGGGGGGAGAGGAGGGGCAGAGGGAGGGGGCAGAGGGTAGGGGTGGAGAAATGACCCAAACAATGTATGCATATATGAATAATAATAAAAAACCCCACAAAGTTTACAGCCAAACAGAAAATAAAAAAATGAAAAAGGAAGGAAGGCTGGGGTAATCACTGTGCCTTTCTGTGCTGCCCTCAACCCGCAGTTGAGGATAAGGGGTGGCAACTAGGCATTGTTAGTTCCAGAATGGAGTTATCCATTTACATTGTTTACTAAATTCTAACAAAGCAGGATGTTTGGTAGTTGTATTTTAATGCTCTACCGTAGGTATAATTAAACAATTCTACAGTTTATGAAGGAACAATAAGCAGGTATTGATGGCTTGTTAACTACATGTTTAACCAGTGTGTGAGGAGAGAATAGTCACTCATATAATCTTACGAACTCCGACATCTTTTAGTTATCACACTTTATTCATTCAAATGTGTTTATCTTCTTGAAATAAAATAACTATTTGCAGCAGGACAAGTAAAACAATATATTCTTTGATTGTATAGGTTTTGTCAAACTTACATAAAGCTTGTTCAAGTTAACTGAGTTCAGTATTAAAAAAGTGTATAATTATCCCAGCAGAGGCAGAAATTTGGGGCATTAGAAAAGAATTCAAAGAACCTCATAATGAAAGAATTTTCATTCTTTTAAAAGAAGTGATACGTAGGAATTAAAATTCTACTGCGATTTATAGATAAAATAAAATTAGCTCCTGCATTCATCCTTAGCACAAGTTTTCCTTTATGTTTTAAAGTTCATGTTGCAATGCATCTGAATATTTAAATTTAAAATTTAACATACCTTGATACTAAGCAATGATTGTCCTCTAGAATACCTTATCTATGGTTGTGAAACAAACAGAGTCTTGAAAACTTTTGCAGGGAAACCAAAGAAAGCAATGGTGAGAATTTCAAATGTGATGAGTGGAGTTATTAGCACATAACTTTGATTTGTTTGCCACTTTCAGTTTTCCCTTCCTATGCTGAGTCTCCACAGGCCAGCATCATCAGAACATAAATTATCCCCTGAAGCTTCTCCATCTTTGGCCTTTGCTAATTCCTTTTTTTTTTAACATTCAACCTAGTGTGCATAAAATTTAACCACAGGACAAAAATATGTAGACTAAATTTCACAAGACTGGTACTAATCACATTAGGATATCAGTTGGGCATACCCAAATGAATTGAAAATGAAAAGTTGAGATTGGAATACCAATTTACATGCATTTAAATATCCATGCCTGGTTCATGATTAGCAAAGTCCCCTTTACTCTTCCCACACCCATCTCCCACTCCAAATTACATACTTAAACCAAATGGAATCAGAATGGGCTGAACCGTATGTAAATTATCCTGAAGATCAGTCTCTACTGTCATAAAGTATAGCTTCTCCAACTTTAATGTGCACATAAATCATACGAGGATCTTGTTAAAATGCAGATTTGGATGTATTAGGACTGGTGTGAGGCCCAATGTTCTGCGTTTCCAATAAGCCTCCAGGTCATGATGGTGTTCTGTTCCACAGACAACATTTTGAATAACAAAGTTTTAAAGCAGAGTAACATTTGCTTTCCCAAAGTGTAAACTAATATTCTATAGACTAATATACAATGCTTCTATTGACTGGCAACTTGACAGTTTGCTATACATATTCCAAATGATATCCTGAAATTTGCAATAATTATGATCTTTAAAACATCACAAATACAACAGTATCCATTACTTGATTAAAAAGGGGAAAAAATCCTGAATGTTTCTTTGGTACTGATAAGTGATATCTGTACACGAATAAAATATTTATATTTTGCTCTTCTATCATTGTTGAACATTATATTAATAGTGCAATATCTAATATGTGAGCCATTATTCTTTTTATGGCATTTGCAAATCATTAATCAAATTTATGACATTCTCATGTCACTTTTTATTCCAAATTCATTAAATACATTCAGTTTAATTGTCTAAAAAGACACTCAAGGCATTTTTATTTACTGTATTGTTTTGCCACAGACAGTTACATACATTTTATCTTTTTATAACCCACAGACAGAAAAAGAAGTATTTTCACATTTTCATAAAAGAAAGACTCAGATAATGGTTACGTGCATGGTTTCAATGCCTAAAATTGAAAGTGCATGTTGAAATGGCTTAAATTAAACTAAAATTTATTTTATGTCCTTTAAAAAATCTAATTCACATATCATAGAGATAGATACATTTACTATTTTTTCTGATTTGTAGTGTCAAATTAATATGCTGTTGTCGTTTTTCTTACTAATTTTCAAATAAATTACTCATATATTTTATTTATTAAACTCATGTTGTACAAGGTATGATCTCAAGAAATCATATCAAGATGTAATTCTAACCTTCAAAGATGTGGCTGTCACCACTTTTAGGTGACATCTTGTCCAAAGCTGTTTCCTTCCCTTTCTTGTCTGAATCTTTCACAAAATCATCTGCCTGGCTCCCAGGGTGACTCTTACATGTTGTTGAACACAAACTTCGCTCAATTTCCACTTCCTGTTAGAAGACATTAAAGGGAAATGTGTTAAAAGCTATCAGGGGGAAGCAGATGTGGTTTTCAGGGGGTTAGAAGGCAGGAGAGAGAGAGGGAGGGGCTTTCTATCATGAGTGATATTTTCTAATATGCTTTGGGGAAAATTTTGATAACTATACCAAGCACTGCTAACACACATCTGATGCTTAGTTTACTTCTCTGCCACTGGTTCCACTTCTGAATTAGCTTTTCTTTCATGTGCACATTTTTCCATCTCTCATAAAAGAGAAAAAGTAGAAATAAGGGTCAAAATACAACATAATATATGTTAATAGATGCAACTTCCTAGGCCTGAGAAATGTCAATGAGGGACTTTCAGAAAATAGCAATATATCAACATTATATGCTAAAGAGAGAAGGAAATGAGGTTTTTTAATGTTATGCTCACCCTATAATGATAATGTTAGCAATTATGGAGCTCCCAAATTACAAACACATTCAACTACCACATACCGAGTACAGTTTGACAGTTCATAAAGATTAAGAAATAACTTCTTTGAGATAGTAATCAAAAGGGGAGAGATAAAAGTTTCACAAAAAAGAATTATAAAAATATTTAAAATATAGCTTAGTATTCCATATTTTATAGATGAGTAATATAATCAACAAACCAAGCCAATCAGATTAAATAGTGTGAATTTAAAAATTGTGGAAAGTAGTAAATATGCAGACAGCTTGAGAAGTACAAGTATATATATTTAAATCAAGTAATATGTCAAAAATATTTTAATAGCTAATCAGAAGTTTTATATTTTTAAAAAGGAGGCCATATTTTCTGAACAGTAGAGTTACTGCTTTTTACTTTTCGAAGACATTGGCATGAGTATAACAAGAAATAGCTACAAGCTTTAAAATATTTCTCAGCATAGATGGCATTTTATTCTGTTCAATGTTATGGCTGAAAATGCAAAGATCCTGGGAAAATAACCCTTTAGCGTGTGTTCCAACTTATCCATATGTGTTATATATCCATTATATATTATAGTGTACTTTATTATACTGTCTGAGTGTGCATATACTCATAAAAACTTTCAGTATCTGCTATTTTTAAATCTTTCCAAAGTATATGAAATACACCCTCTTTATCACTGTCATCTTTAACTGGAACTGAAACATTTCCAGAGGAAAACCATATTTTTCAGAGAATTGGTTTAATAATTCGGTTTCCATCCATATTCAAACTTTCCTAACACACAGTGATGCATTTGGTTGCTAAGGCAGCAAGTAGGCCTGCCATGAGCTCCTTAGTTGGGAATGAATAGAGTATCCCAATCCAATCCATGGCCACAGGAAGTGACTGCAATGATATGGATCCATTATGTTTGTTAATTTTTTTTCCCAAAAAGTTCATCCAGTTCTAGCCTTGGGAAAAATAAGATAAATATAGAGAATATAAAGATGCCTAGATCATTGTGGTTTTTGTTCAGAAAATTTATGTTTTGATAAAGGATAGAATTCTGAACATGGTCCATGAACTAAGATTGATGATGTGAAAGAACAATTTCTGTGTCACATAGAAGCATATAAACGTGATTTGGTGAAATTGTTTAAACAAGTGTTTCAGCCAGCGATGATAATAACTGACACTATATTGGATTCACAAATTCCCTGAGTGCATCATGTACTGAAGCAATAAGAAATACATGAACAATCTACATGTGAATGAGGTGAGCCTGTTTCTAAGCCTCAGTCATCAGATCTACCTCAATCTGAGGCAAGTTCTTCAGGGATCAGGCAAAGTCTAAAACTGATCTTTGATGAGGTTGAGTTGAGCTATCTCTGATCAAAGCAGTGATCTATTTTAATTTCTTTTATGCATTGTACTTATACAAATAATTTCCTTTAAGTAAAAATGTGCAGTCTTAACCAAATGTCTAAAACACCACTTTATGAAGAGTGAATGCAGCACTTCACAATGAAAAACTTAAGATTCCAGCCCTTGCTTGACTATGAATTAACTGTGTGCCCTGGATCAAGTTACTTGACATTTCTGTGACTAATAACAGCTCATGTTCAAAAAAAAAAAAACCATTTGTAATGCAATTGTATTTGAAGGAAAAAAAAAACAAAATAAAGTAATATTACTGCCTTTTGTAGTTTCCAGTCTACTAATAGTCAAATCACAATAAAGTGCATAAGCCAATATAAATATGCAACTATTTACAGGACAGGGAGGTCAGATAGACAAACTAAAACAAGAAGCATTAACTTAATGAGGAAGACTCACAAAGCTTTCCTGGGGAAAATGTCTTTGGCTGATGTTTGAAAGATAAATGGTGCTTTCCTAGATGAAGAGCTTTCCAGATAGAGGAAACAATATGTGCAAATGTCCTGAGGTATGAAGAAGCACAGTGGATAGAAAGGTGGCTGGAGTAGGGATGCTCAGACACAGCATGGTGCTGGATGCCTGCAGAGGCAGGTAGAGACTGGAACATATTGACACTGTGGTCTTAGCCAAAAATCTTATTGAAGGTTTTTGAAAGTGTGTATGTGTGTGTTTCTGTGTATGTGTATCATGTGTGCACATAACAGAATCAGGTGTGTAGTGGGAAAAGCTCAGCCAACCTCTATATCAGGGTTTCTCAGTCCTGGCACAGTTGATAATTTGACCAGATATTCTGTGAACTGTATGACACTTGGCAGCATTTCTACTTTCTACCCACTCATGCCAGTTGCACCTGTCCCAACTTCCAAACATAGCAATTAAAGTACATTTAGACGTTGCTGAATCTCCAAGGGAAAGCCAGTCATTGCTGATAGAAAACCATCACTTCATAATGGCAAGATTGGAAAAAAGTTAAAATATACCTGGAAGGTCAGTTAGGATTTTTACCAACACAGTACAGTTTCCCTTGAAGTATTCATTGAGAGTTGGTTCTAAGACCTTCTAATGTATACTAAAATCTGCAAATGCCCAAGTACATTATATGAAATGTTTTAATATTTGCTTATAATCTATGCACATGACTCTCTTTTAAATCATTTTTATATTACTAATGATAATTTATTGCAATCTAAATCTTGTATGAGTAGTTGTTACACTATATTTTAATTTTAATTATTATTAAAAATTATTTTTAAATATTATTTTAATTATTATAGTACTTTTGTTATTTTAATTGTGCATAACAGATGTGCAACCCAAGGATATAAAGGACCAACTGTTGTCCAGGAAAGTGATGACACTCTTGGATAAGGGGTGGTGATAGATGTGGATAGGAATAAACAAATTTGAAAGTTATTTGGGATGTAAAACTGACAAAGCTAGCTATTGGATTGGATCTGAGGTTGCAGAAGAAGGGGGAGAACCGTAATGAGTTTCCTTCTATTTCTGGTATATAGAACTAAATGGGAGGTCATATAAGAAAACAATATTAAAACACTAGAAGAAGGTTGGTTTGGAAGGGAAGATAAGTCTTAAGTTACCTACCAAGATGTTCAAAAGACAGCTGGATATGCAGTCCTGGAACTTAGTGGAGTTCAAACAGAACAAAGTAATTTGTGAGTCATCTGCCTTTTAGTGGTAATTGAAACAATGAATTTAGATGAATACAGAATGTGGTGGACAGTGAATTCAGAATAAAGCTTTGATAAATGCCCACATTAAATCTTATGTCAGGAGAAAAATAGATGAGAAGGAGGGAAATCAGAAGGAGGAATTTCTTTGATGATACTGAACTCTAGCTGAGAGTGTAAATTAGATGAGGACCTAAATATATCCGTTGAGTTGAGCAACCTGGGTATAAACTATTGAGCAAAGTTGTTTAGGTGGAAATAAAAAGTTTGAGGGCAGACAAAGGTGGTTGAAGTTGTGACTGAGAGAGAGTGAATGTAGAGCAACTTCTTGAAGACTTGAATGTTACACTGAGGGAGAGAGAACATTAACTCAATAAATATGTGTTTTGTTTTTGTTTTAAAGGGGAAGACTTGCTTATGTTGAAAAGCCAATTGAAGGATTTAATGAAGTGGAGAAGTTTGACTTTAGGGAAAGAAAAAGAACATGCAATGATGGAAATGTCCAGAGACTCACAAGAGGAAGGAATCCAAAGCACAAATAGAAATATTACCCAAAGATGGAAGAACAGAAAGCATTCCTACAGTCCCACAGGGCAATGAAAGAGAAATCATAGTATGGATTATTTGTATGCTTTGTAGCTTGATGACTAGAATATTGCAATCTGGACTAAGTGTGGTGATACACATCTGTAATTCTGGCTACTTGGGAGATGGAGATGGGAAGATCTCAGTCCAAGGCTGGCCACACAAAAGCATGAGACTCTATCCAAAAACAAACTATAAATAAAAGGATTGGAACATGGCTCAAGTGATAAAGCACTTCTCTAAAACATGCATAGGCTCTGTGGTCAGTTCCCTGTACTGTCCATCTGAGGTTGATCATACTAAAAATTCAGGGCAACCAATGGGCCCTATTGAATGACTAGGTCTAAAAATTCTAGTTTTAAAAATTCAATTGTTGTTCAGGTAATGAGAAAGTGGATAGCTGAATTCACCCAGGGAGGCTGTATAAGGAAAAAAGAAAAAGAAAATGTGTGTTGTGTAACAATCAGCTAAGGTTAGATCTTCTCTGTCAAATAATTTAATCAGCAATAACTGCCTTACTAACTCGCTTTCCATATGCTCACTTCATAAACTCAGTTTAGTATGAAAGTTTCTATTAAAAACAACTGGACCAAGGCAGGAATTCCACTAGATGCTATGGTTCTGGAGCTGATAACCACAAACAGTTATTGCTTCTCTGAAACATCTTTGTTCCCAAAGCCCCCTCCTAACCTGGCCCCTTTCTAATTAGCCAACTGTGTAGACTCTGAGCCCCAAACCTGCCCAATCCAGGGACAGAAGAGAGACAACATGGCATCAAATAAAACCCCTGTTGAACGCCCACCTGGTGTGCATATCTCCCAGACTTCCTGGTGTGCACCCTATAGTAGAAGTAAATTTTGCT